GCACCACTCCCGGCCTGAAAAAAATGCAAAACGGATCGGATCACTTCCAGACAGTCGCGCGATGTAGACAGATGGACAGATAGACAGATGGACCAGTTAACATGGACCAACAATCTCACCAGTGTTGAAGGATAACCACGGTTGCCTTTTTTGCAATACATGCGTTCCTGTCTTCCGTCTTTGAATTATTGCAAGTGCGAACTGAGCAAAACAAAATCCTTACTGTACGGGAGAAACCGTACTACCATTCAGCCCCGTAACATTCTTTCCATAGGGGAAACTTTGGTCGCTCTGCGGGACGGGATAAAATTATCCGATCGGAATAAAATTTTGCACACATCCTTGTGTCATAGTATCGACAAGATTTCCGACCCGGCCCGACGAATCCGACAAACTTTTCCAAAATGGACCACCCTAATGCATATCCAAACTGAAGAGCCACGATCGTGGTGGTGGAAGTGACAATTACAGGTAAATCCTTTACCGAGTTGAAACATTATTTTATGTACCTTACCCTCACGATTTGCAATTGTGAATAAAAACATCTTGGAAATGAAATCTTGGAAATGGAAAAAAAACTCTGACCAAGCTGACAGTTTTGCCTGTCACTTCAGCCTTCGCCTGAGCTGTCACTGCTTCCTTGTGACATGTCTAAAAAACAGCTGACCGGGTCAGGAAACCTTCAAAACAAGGCTCTCCCACCCGGTCGAGCCGCTGAAGCAGTGTGTCCCTGTTGATGTGGCCATCTCCATGGAGGGACGAGCATGGTCCCACATACCTGGGACGTATTTCCGCAAGGGCGGCAAGGGCTGCAGCGCAGCTTAACTCAAAAAAAAAAAAAAAAGTTATTGTTTAAAAAGAGATATTGGCATAAGAATACATTGTTACATGACACGAGGCACAGTCGGTCCCCACCGTTTGTATTTTGATTTGTCTTGTGTAATTATGACCGTACAAATGTTGACTACTTTGTTAAATCAGGTTAGTGATAGATTTTGGCGCATTCTGATGTATGGACAAATTCTGGTTCCCTCGTTGTTGTAGGGAGAGACCTATGTTGTGAGCTGAGAAAACCCCTGTAACCCTTTGTGTTTTTATTTCATATTTGAAATGAAGAATGAAGTCAAAACCACTTTTACTGGTGGTCAAGTAAACTCCCGTTAATTGGAACTGAGACTTTGTGGTGTACAGACTGGCATCTCTCCAACATGTATTTACTGTACTTTTGTCCACAGCAGGACACGAATCGGTTCTTAAGCATAAATCTCAGTTATTTACTTTCTACCAAAGGTTGTTCAAAAAAAGAGACTTTCTGATTTGACCTTTTGACTTGCTTATTATTTTTTGATACCAGTTTTACTCTTTCTACAGCTAATTCATCAACTGATTAAAAAAACCCTGCCTTGAAGTAGTTTTCAGTAGCAGTAGTACCTACCAGTCTGAGCTTGAACCTCATCTCCTTGAGAACATTTTGGCTGTAAAATCTGAAAAATTACTCAATTTTGATTTTGAAAAGTAATCCCTTGAATTGAATCGTAATGTTTTATAAAGGTTTAATTCAATAGAAAATGTAAATTTCCAATTTCAAATTCTCTATCTGTTTTACGTCTGTATTGCAGAATGTGCTGGCCAAGGCTTTGTATGACAATGCTGCAGAATCTCCTGATGAACTATCCTTCCGCAAGGGGGACATCCTGACCGTCTTGGAACGTGACACGCAAGGACTCGATGGCTGGTGGCTTTGTTCACTTCATGGTCGCCAAGGCATTGTCCCTGGCAACCGTCTTAAGGTTCTTGTTGGCATGTATGACAAACAGCAAGATCATGGAAGTCCTAGCACAACAGATCCAGCGTCATCGTGTCCCACTTCCCAGATGCAGCGACCCCTCCACCCGCAGAGTGATTTCAATCAACCTCCAGCCCCAGCTCAATACACACCAATGCAGTCTGTTTACTCCACGCCCAATCTAGCACAGCCCAAATCTGATTCCATCTACATGATTCCACCATTGCATGGCCCCAAGCCCAATCCCCAAATTTTGTATCATGTTCCCTCTGGCCCAAGTGGACCACCTCTTAAGGCCAAGACAGACCTGAGCGTTAAGGCCCCAGCACCGATTCAGTGTGAAGTATCAGGGGAGGATGTTTATCAGGTGCCACCTTCTTTAGGTCTGGGGCTAAACCAGGGGATTACCCAGGCAGCTTCTTCAGTTTTGCCAGGCGCTGGGAAGGATGTGTACCAGGTGCCTTCCTCTCTAGAAAAGAGCACCTGGAAAGATAGCAAGACACCTGGTAAGGTAAGCAAGGCACTGCACAATCGAGTTTGCTGTGGGGCTGATGAGACAAGTGCAGGAGGCCATGGAATAGTGTACAGCACAAATCTGAAAACACAAAAAATACACAAGGATGAAAATTTGATGTGAAAACATTCAATGTATATAAAAAAATAGCGCTAACTGGAGTCAGACTTCACCCAAAACTAATGTCAGATATGGGTACTGGTGGGTACAGAGCCCCGGTACTAAAATAGCCACAAGCCTGAAATTTGAAACCGCAATATCAATGAGCTCCACCCTTGGACTGGATAACTAATCGAAATTTAAATTGTGATAATGATGTTGGCTAATCTTGATCTTGAAACATTATGATCGAAACAAGACGATTAATGTTCCTGTTCTTTTGAAAGTACCCCGATTGCACCGTGTTGCTTCTGTAGCAAACATGCAGCGTGTGCAATTCTGCCATCTTTGAGCGTCCTTTAAGGTGTTTAATGACACCCTGTTGGAGTATACTGTAAAACTAAACACACAACAAAAAGAATTACACACATTACATATCTAAATACAAACCATGCTTCGTTTTTAAAACATCGCTAGCGCTAACACTGAAGGCAATGTAGGATCCCATTCACATGCTAGCGAGAATTAGCATCGACTTCAGGAGGGGTAGTCCTACAAATAACGAATAGTCAAACACACACTGGCAAAACATACACACAGGCATGAATAGAGTTCAGGCACAACTTTTGTTCTCATTCAGAGGCCAAACATGTAGGAACAGCCGGTATTAGTTTTTGTTTTTGTTCCAATCGCTATTATTGTAGAATACTCTTATTTACCTTCTTACGAATTTATTTTCTTGTTGTCCTTTCAAGTTATATTGAAAGTTGAGTTTTCAAGGATTCAAGACATTTCCGTTGCTCTAAATTCAAGGATACAAAGATTAAAATGAATTTTTTTGTCATCCCAACACACATTTCCACATCACATGGCATGAAATACAATCCCAGGTTAGCCCAGTAGGACCCAAGACTGAAAATACATAAAATCAATATGATAAAGAGATAAGGGTAATGCTTAATCAAGCCTTCAATGTATGCAAAGACGGAATGCATCAAAAGTGTGGATGAAGCAGAATGAAAATGTAAGGGGCTTGAATTTCACATATTTACAAGGTCATGTTGGATTTGGCAAAAAGAATAGATGCAGGGGTGTCAAACTCAGGTCCTGGAGGGCCGCTGTCCTGCATGTTTTCCAAGTCTCCCTCCCTGTTGCAACACACCTGATTCAAATGAACAGGTTCAATGTCAGGGTTCCGCAGAGCTTGCTGATGATCTGACCTGAGTTAGACACCCCTGCAATAGAGTGTTCAATGTGCAGGGATAAATGGGCATGAGGCAATAACTTTTGAGTGGCTGAGTTTTAGTAGTTGAATAAAGGCCAAGTTTTTAATTCGATGAATAATTGTTTAAATAATCGTGATTTCAATCTCAATCAAAATAATGAGGGTCATTATTTTTTTTCTTTACTCATCCAGCCCTACTCCACCCGTAACGGTTCTCTGAACAGTCTTAGGGAAATTCCTCAAATTAATTTTCAATTGATTGCTAGTATATGAACGTTATTTTGCACCCTCTCCCTCTGTGATCTCGTTTCTAACTCACAACAAAAATTAATATGCTCGTCTAAGATGTATGTTCACAATCGGAAGCGAGCCATCTCGCCCCAGTGCTGCAATGCAGTGCGCGTGAGAGGCACCTGTGACTTCCTGCGCTAATCTAGGGCTGTGTGATCATATTACGACAGGATACGTAGTATTACATAAAAACGTCCATTGTGCTATCCAACCCATTAGTTTTTATACTGTTATTTTGATGTGTGGGAAGGTATCCGTTTAACCGTCAACACCGCCGTCCCAGCCTCGGGCCTATGGAGCCACGTTGACTTGGGAGCACAGGCCACGAAGTCAGTGGCATTGAAATCTCAGAGGAGTGAAATTTACTTCCATACACTGACACAGCGCTAGCTGATGTCCTTTACCTTGGATTATCTCTGTTACTACAAACATAATATCCGAGTGTTTCTTTCTTGAGGCATGACTCAGCGATTTCCATTCAATGCAACCATTACAGTAGTGTAATAGTTTGGTTTCCATATGGGGAATGGTCATTTGTCCCTTGTATGTGTGCCATGCACTTGGCTGGCAACCACTGGACTCGAGTGGCTCTTAACCTGGGTTCGATCGAACCCTAAGGGTTCAGTAAATCGGTCTCAGGGGTTCGACGGAGCCTCTGCCATGGAGGTCAAGGCACACCTGACTCAACATGTCAATTAGTTATGATACGCCTGCTTGGCCATCACTGGCTGGTTCATTTTGTGCACAATTAAAACATTTTATTGAAGGGATCCGTTTTTTTCTGTTTTTAAGAAATGTGTTTTTTTTATATCTTGAATTTGTAAAAGAAAAAAAAAATATATAAAAAAAAAATCCTCGTCTCACCCCCCTCGGGTGGTGTCCATCCCTCATTCAGCTCGGGTCCTCTACCAGAGGCCAGGAAGCTTGAGGGTTCTGCGCAGTATCCTTGCTGTTCCCAGCACTGCACATTTCTGGACTGAGATGTCCGATGTTGTTCCCGGGATCTGTTGCAACCACTCATCTAGTTTGGGGGTCACTGCCCCGAGTGCTCCGACCACCACAGGCACGACTGCCACCTTTACCTTCCAGGCTCTCTCCAGCTCCTCTCTGAGCCCTTGGTATTTCTCGAGTTTCTCGTGTTCCTTCTTTCTGATGTTTCCATCACTTGGGACCGCTACATCCACTACAACGGCTTTCCTCTGCCCTTTATCTATGATCACGATATCTGGTTGGTTCGCCATTACCATCTTGTCAGTCTGGATCTGGAAGTCCCACAGGATCTTCGCTCTGTCATTCTCCACCACCTTCGGAGGTGTTTCCCATTTTGACCTTGGGGTTTCTAGTCCATACTCCGCACAGATGTTTCGGTAGACTATGCCATCTGTTTTTTGACTACAAGAATATATTACAAAACAAGACGATATGACTTTGCAATATTTTCCATTCCCAACCCCCCCCCCGCCACGAAATTAAAAAAAATGGAAAAATCTGCCTACTTTGCAGATTTTCTCTCTGTTGTTAAGTTGGATAGTCAAACACAATGTATTGTAAAACAGTCGAATGTTCTGCCTGTAATTCATATTATTATTTTTGTAAGCGTTAAGGGATGAAAAAAAGGTATTTTATTCATTTTATATGTATATATTTTTGTAATTAATTAATCGGTTATCAGAATTTTACTTTGTCAAATATTGGAATTGGCATCGACCTAAAAAAAATTCCGATTTATTGGGCTGTGTTATAAACCCTTTGTCACCAATAATTTGTGATTACTGTGACTATTGACACATTCAAACATCTTTTTTTTTTTCTCATTAGGGTCTTTCTGCTACTCAAGGAGGCTATGTCTATGACACAGTGAAGCCAGACCGTGATCAGTATGATGTTCCACTCAGGCATCAATTTTCAACCCAGCAGGATGTATATGATGTGCCTCCCACCCGTGACATATTCCACACACAGGTCAGTTTATACTTACCGTGTTTTCCGGACTATAAGACACTACTATTTCCCAAAACTTTGAACCCTATTGCTTTTAATGTGACACAATTTAGTTCTCAATTTTTACTGATGAGCTTCAAGCCGTCAATAGATTTACCCATAGTCTCATCACATCTTTTACCGAACACATCACAGTGACCCAATGAAATGGCCCAGAGTCTGCCCTCGTACTGAATATTCATCAGCCATTTCCGGCTGGAGTGTGCACGTGGCTTTGACAGACAAATACTGAAGTAACATTTGTGCGAAGCAGTACACGGCTGTGTAGGAGAGAACAGAGCCCATATAGTACATAGTTAACGGAAAATAAACATCTTAAGTTGAGTTTAACGAGCTTAGGGATCAAGTGCCATAAATACAGCCATCTCTGCAGTGCGACCTCTGTCTCGCACTTGTTTGTTGGGCGACCGACCATCAGTGATGGTCGGTCGCGCAACAGACAACAGAACAGCAAGTCCGGCCATGGAGCGACAACCCTTTACAGACTTACCCGTCCGTGCATCCCCTGCATCTCTGAATCAGCACCCAATTGAAAGAAACTGAGAGCACCTACACAACACGTGACACAAATACATGTATTCATTCATGCGTTCTTTTATTCGTTTAAATAGTTGTTTAATTTATTTATTACTTCACACATTTTTCTAAATATGTTATAACACACCGTAAACGTCGAAACTCCTGGGAACAAAAGTGATTTCAGCTCTAAATCAAAATGTCCAAATTGTGCCCAAATGTCAATAGTTTATTGTGGCCACTTGTAATTTCTAGTGCTGCCTTAATTAACCCTCTTGGGTATGAAATCATCTTCCATTCACCCATGTTAAATCTTCTGGAAAGCGCAAATTGTTACAGCTGCAGTTGTTGTGAAAGTGCGATACAAATAAATGGATTGTATCGTATGATGATATCACGTGGTCGATGTGAAAGATCTTGTGCTCCTCCACCTTCTGTTTGAGTTTACCCTCCAGTTGCACAACATGATTTAGATTGTGAGGCATGATTGACCAGTCCATCCCCTTCACCCTGAGCTTTTTGAGCAAGGCAGGGGTCATCTTGGAGGTGTGTTTGGGGTCATCATCATGATTTAATCCTGCCCTGTGGCCCAGTTTTCTGAAGTGAGGGGGATCATGCTCTGCTTCAGTGTGTCACGGTTCCTTTATTTTTGGCATGCATGGTTACCTCAGTGAACTGTGCTCCCAAGTGGCGGCAGGAATCGTGCAGCCTCAGACCTTGACACTCCCACCACTATGCTTAACTGTTGGAAAGACACATTTGCTTTGTACTCCTCACCTCTTTGCCATCTCACACGCACACAATCTGAACAGGATAATTTCATCTTGGTCTCATCAGACCACAGGAAATGCTTCCAGTCAACATTGTCCTTCGTATGCTTGTATCCCACCAAGCTGTTTGTGGGCATTCTTTTCAGGACGCTTCATCCCAGACCAATTTGATGCAGTGTGTAGCACATCTCGGCACTGATAGGCTGACCCTCCACCCCTTCAATCTCTGCAGCAATGCTGGCAGCACTCATAATGTCTGTTTTCCAAAGACAACCACTGGATGATCGATAAAACGCTGAGATGTGGACCGCACTCCTTTGGTGGACCACGGTGAAGCTTGTTCTGGGTGGAAACTGTCCTGTTAAAACGCTTTGTGCTCTTGGCCACTGTGTTGCAGTTCAGTTCCAGGATCTTGGCCAAAGCCATCTTTATGAACTGCAACAGTTGTTTTGTTTTTGTTTTTTTTCAGATCCTCACCTCATTGACTTCTTCACCATAAGGTTTTTAAATTTAGCACACTTGCTCGGCAGGTCAGAAAAGACCGAGTAAAACTAATGAGTCTCATGACACCAAGTACAGCAAATTGAAAAATTGGCCCAATTGTGACATTTTTACTGTAAGGATGTACTCATTTTTGTTGGCAGCGGTTAAGACGTTACGTGCTGTGTGTTATTTTTAGGAGATGGTAAATTTACACTGTTACACAAACTGCACACTGGGGAACACAATTTTTGTTGAGCAAGGTCTCGCAGCTGTTTTTAACAAATTTTTGGTTGCGTGATTCAAAATAGATTGCAGTTTCTCTCTGTCACGTCAAGTTTTGGAGCTTTAGGATCCCCATTTTCTTGAAAAATATGAAACTAATGTGTATGTATGTGCGATCCTCGAGAGGATAAGTGGATCAGATAATGGATGGATGGATTTGGATGGATTTGTTGATACTGTACAACAAAGTTCATCTGTTTGAACATTAAATATCTTGTCTTTGGAGTGCATTCGATTAAAAATAGGTTTAACATTTCCAAATCATTGTATTCTGTTTTTATTCATGCTTCATATGACGTCACAACTTCACGTGAACTGGGTTTGTCGCAAAGAGCAATTTCTTCAATGTTGTCACATGAAAATAAAAATGTGAGTAGTGCACTCTCACTTTTTTGTGAGATACTGCTGTACTAGAGTTAGGGCGGTATTCACATTTTGACACCGTTTTACCATCTCCTCATTACATTGGGTTGTAAGGTAATACGTCACTCATTTTCAACTTATTTTATTGCTTGCGCCGACCACTGCGAGACTCTCTAGTATAGGCTAGACTCGAAGCCCAAATCCACAATCAATGTTCGATATCAGTTATTGCATCAAAAGATTGCGCAACAACCTGTTTCGCTGTCATTAATGTTGGAAAAGCAGAGATTTTTTTTTCTGGACACCCATGAAAGTTAGAAATTTGACAATGATGAATTGAATGATTCTCAAAGATATTCTCTCATTTTTCCAGGTTTATGATTTCCCACCCACAGTCAGTAAAGAAGTTTCTGTCGCTCATCTAATAAAAGAGGAGACCTATGATGTGCCCTCCCATTTGTCCAACAAGAAACCGCAAGCCTCCACTCTTCCTGGGCAGTACATGTATAGCAGTCCGAATGATGATCACAAACCAAATGTAATGCACGATGAAGATGTCTACGATGTGCCACCCCCTACGCTCACCAAAAAACACAGAGGAAGAGATAAAGTTAGCCAGCTGGCCGAGGAAATCTACAATTTTCCAGCTCGCGTGCACCATGGAGGGCAACCTCCCCTGGATGTTTATGACATCCCAAGAGAGCAAGAGGAGCGAGGAGAGAGCGAATGCACAAATATCTACGATGTCCCGCCACAGGTAGGAGATGCACAGACCTGGCCAGCAACTTTCTCCACCGCTTATCTGTTCAGGGTCGCTGGCGCACAGACACGAGCTTACTTAGGTTGAGGGTTATGGTATACATATTGTTCGTCAGTGAACGTGCCCTTCGACATGAATGTGTCCCCTCCAAAGTTATCATAGTTTGTCGTTTTTTTAATTATACAGTGATGTATTCAGTTAGTTTTCATTAGTTTTGAGAGAAGTTTAATCGTTTTTATTCGTGTTTATATTTTTCCAAAAATACTTCATTTTAGATGAGCTTTTATTAGTTTTTGTTTTAAAGGAAGTATTGTGAATTCTAGTGACCTACAATTCTCAAACGACTGTTTTGACCTTCCTATATATTTAAAATCAACTCCAAAAGCTCATGGAGCAGAGGTCTGTGCGTGTGCGTGTGCGTGTGTGTGTGTGTGTGTGTGTGTGTGTGTGTGTGTGTGTGTGTGTGTGTGTGTGTGTGTTTTAAATGTATTAATTGACAAAGATGAAAACAAACGACATTTTCACCGTAATTCTAGTTAGTTTTATAAACGCAAGTTGTACTATAGTTTCAATTCATTGTTATTTTTTTTCCCCCAAAAGCATTTGTTTTTATTTTGTGAACAAAAAGTTATTTTTTCTTTTCCATTTCGTTCACTATAATGACCTTGGTGCCCTCTCACTGTACAAGATCTGCCCGAGTTTAGAGTTGCAAAATCGACCCTCCTGAAGCATGGAGCACTCATTTTTGTCGCGGGTTTCCCTTGGAGGGCCGTTATGAATTTTGGGAAACCATATAAATGTTGAATCCCCTCCACATATTACACAGCGCACAACAAATTGATGAATAACTAGTCTTAAAATCAGAAGTCAAGAATAATAACTGTTATTGTGGATTACACATGACAAAATGAAGTTTTGGTTCCGACTTTATCAAGCATCATGGAACTTGACATGCTTGATTTGCTTTCGCGGGCCACAAAAAATGATGTGGCGGGCCAGATCTGGCCCTCGGGCCTTGACTTTGACACTGTGGGTTAGCACATTCCCCCAACTGTGTGGACACAATTAAAAAAAAAACATTGCAAAGTGCCTGTATATAGTGGAGGGCATTGCTTCAGTGAAGAGAGTGAACAGCAAATGATTAATTGATGTGCTATGTAAAGTTGTCTGCGCCATTTTTTTAAAATGATGTATTTATTTATTGATACCATTTTTTAAACTGAAGACGTTATGAGGAAGTATTCCAGTTAAGTGGAATGCAGTCGGATTTTGTCCTTTTCTTGCGGCGGTCCCAAACCGGACTCTGATGGAGGAACACAGGACTGATTTGATGGCTGCTGTGTAGAACTGTCTCAGCAGCTCCTGCGGCAGGCCCTGCTTCCTCAGCATCCTCAGGAAGTACATCCTCTGCTGGGCCTTGTTCAGGAAGGAGTTAATGTTGCCCTCCCACTTCATGTCCTGGGAGGCTGTGGTTCTCAGGAACTTGAAGGTCTTGATGGTTGATGCAGGGCAGTTGGATCATTTGAAGGGCAGCTTTGGATGTTTTCTGAAGTCCACGATCATCTCTACCGTTTTGAGCGTGTTCAGCTCCAGATTGTGTTGCCTGCCTGGTATTTGGTACCGTCACGTTGAGTAAGGGCTCACAGGGAAAACAACGGTTAGCAATTCAAATCATTGGCCACCCTGGTCTACACATTCCTCATTCTATTACAGAGATTACCGCGCTGAGCAGTATCTTGACTCCAGTCAATCAGTCAATTTGTGTAAAGACACTTAAACCTGGTTATGAATTTCAGGTCGTCCGTGATGCCCAATTGCCAGGTGAGGAGCTGCACAGGGCATTCAAGCGGCTCTCGGCCTCCAGCACAGGGAGCACACTGAGCAACAACTCGGCTTCATCCTTGGACATGCTCCCTGTCACCGACAATGAGCTGTTCTCATCATCTCCTGCCCCATTTACTGGAAAACCCCTTCTGTTAGACCTGGACCCGGCCATGGAGCGCCTTTCCCGCCTTCAACAAGCCGTTGAGTTAAGTGTCTCCGTCATGATGTCATTCATCACGAGCAACTGGCGAAGCCCGGATAACCTGGAGGGGAATCTTCCGGCCATTCACCAGGCCGCTGACCGGGTGTGTTTCACTCTCCGGGACTTTCTCGAATTTTCCCGGGGTGCCGTAACAAATGCGGGCCAGGCCACCGACCGCTCCCTGCAGACCAAATTGGGCCGACAGGTGGGCAAATTGGAGGAGGTCTTTCAGAGTTTAATTGCGCAGACTCAAAGTTTAGATGCCATTTCTTGGTTGCATACAGAACTTGCCAAACCACAACCAGGTGGGGATGTCTTAGATCAGCTAATAATGACAGTGCGTGGAATCCCAGATGACGCCAAACAGCTGGCTTCCTTTCTCCACGGCAATGCCTCGTTGCTCTTCAAACGCAGTCACCAGCAACAGTTACCGCTTCCTCCATTGCCAGGAGGGATTAGCTCCCACGTGGCAGGATCAGAAAGTGGGAGCTATCAAGCGGGAGAGCGAGTAAACATTCAGTCGCGACCTTTACCCTCGCCCCCGAAGTTTGCTGCTGCAGAGGAAGAGGGAGGTGTTGACACACCCTATGAGACCACCGAGGAAGGATGGATGGAGGATTATGACTATGTGCATCTACAGGTACAGACATGATCATTGCATTACACACAGTTTGACACAAGTGGACAAATACAGGTCGAGATGTGTGAACTTACTGCTAGTAATTGGAGATTTCTCACCATTTTAATCAGCTTACAATGATCATAATGCCTTGACATTCAACATACAGAATTTAAGGCGAGGCAGCTTTATTTATGAGTGCATTTCATACACAATATAACTCAATGTGCCTCTTAAAAACATACATCATTTTAAAGCATTTGTTAACAGACATTTAAAATGAAAGTCAAGAAATTTTAAGAAGTAAAATGACTAAAAGAATGTTCAGTGCAAAGAGATTTTGGAGGACAAAAAAACTTTTACAAACATTAACCCATGTGAAACTATTACATGAAAAACAATAAAACACCCTTAGCTTCAATGACAAATGAGGAGTGTTAATAAACACGGCACGATGCGCCTCACACTTCTCATTCATTAACATTTATATTATCACACATATTAAATCAACCATGAATGGAACATTGAACATTCAACACTCAACCGTTTGACCACTAAAATACGGGGTCTTTGTGTTATTTTGTCAGGGTAAGGAAGAGTTTGAGAAGAGCCAAAGACAACTGATGGAGAAAGGCAGCATCATCAAAAACAAGACACAGTTGGAGCAGCAACAGGTGCGTGTGTGTGAGACCTCTTTGAAATGGCCAAATATCCACACATCTTTTTATTTATGTAACACCTGGGTCAAGAAAATAACATTGTCCCCCTTTGCAGTTGAACAACTGAATAGAGTCGTTCCATGCCAAATCAACCAAGCAGATTTTGATTTTAATGAAACCTTCTGTAATTGTTGATGGTGGTGGCACAACACTAAATCTTAAATTCGGGGTCAATCAGAACAGGAGTTGGAGAGCTACGCCCCGCCAAATTCTGACAAAACAGGGATTCCTTTGCTTGAATCCAAAAATTAAAGTCAAGTCAGAAACAAAATAACAAAATAAAGGCAACACAGGTATCGGAAAAAAAAGCCAAGTACCGTATTTTCCGCACGAAAAGGCGCACTGGATTATGAGGCGCACCTTCAATGAATGGCCTATTTTGTAATTTTTTTTCATATATTGGACGCACCGCACTATAAAACGCAATCTACAGTGCATCCACTAGATGGAGCTACGCTCAAGGAAACACCAACAGAACTATAGCAACGCCACGAGTGAAGTGCGCCTCAGCAGTCCATAGTCCGCTGCTCTCTGCTGTGCGCGCATGAGCGCAAGCACATACGCACGTGGTTCAACCAATCAGCGCCCACGCAACCCACGTCACAGATCAAAGAAGCTTTGAACAAACGAAACAGCTAAGCTAGCTTAACTGTTGAGTGCCGTTGCTACAGAACGATCTGATGTCAGTAAAACTTATTTAATAAAGCAGCGACACAGTTCACTTAACCAACAAGTTATAACATTGAACTCTCTTGCGGCTGCTCTATTTCCGTGTTCAACTGCGTAACCCGATCGCCTTAAGTTTGAACTCTGCGTTGTAAGCATGTCTCTAGCAAGGAGCCATTTTGGGGTCGAAATATTACCGTAATAACCATACACAAGGTGCATTGGATTTTAAGGCGCGCTGTGAGCTTTTAAAACCCTTATGCGGTTTAGGTGCGCCTTTTAGTGTGGAAAATACGGTACATGTTTCAGAGCATCAGATCATATTTAAATATCTCTCACAAGATATCCTATGTAAATATATGGTGAAGTGCATTATCTAAAGTTTATAATACTTAACAAGGAGCGATCCAAACATATGTGAAAAAGTATGACCTGAGTGACTGGTTGTGCCACCCTTGCCAGCAATCATTAAAATCAAGTGTTTGCAAATGGTGATGGCAGCAGAATTCTCTGCCCCATTAATCACAGCAAGCCATCCAGGCCCTGAAAGAGCAAAGCAGAACCAGAGCATTACACTGCCCCCAACATATTTGACTGATGTCATTTTTAAAAATGTTAACCGAGTGCTCAAAAGTTCAACTTTTTTTGTCATCAGGACACAGAATATTTCTCTAAAGGTTTTGGTGTTCATCAAAGATGTTTCTTGGCAAATGTAAGATGAGCCTTTGCGTTTGTTTTAATTTCTTCTCCACAAAGGGTCAGAAAGGTTTGTTCCCTCCCAACACACTCATCCCACCCATTTAGAAAGTTCACTTTTGTGAAATATTAAAGTTTATGGATATCAGTCATCAGGAAGGGAGCCAGTCCTTTTTGCCGGCACTGTATTTGTGGTGCAGTATTGAGGAAAGGGGTCTGCATTCTCTCATCTGGCGTGTGATTGCTATTTTAAATTGTGTGTTGTTTGCAATCATTGCAAACCCGAATTTAGTTTAAATGTTGTAATTAACTATCACACTCTCCCCTTATACTCTAACAGATCAAACAGTTTGAACGACTAGAGCAGGAAGTGAGTCGACCGATCAACAATGACATGACTGGGTGGATTCCATCGTTGATTCACCCACCAGGCAACACGCTGACGAAAAATGTCTCCTCCAAGTTGTGCCACGCCGACCGACAACTTCTGCTTTTCTACCTCGAGCAGTCTGAGCAGAACTTCACAACCATTAACAATGCTATCGATGCCTTTTTTACTGCCGTCAACTCCAATCAGCTGCCCAAGATCTTTGTGGCTCACAGCAAGCTTGTCATCCTTAGCGCACACAAGCTAGTTTTCATTGGCGACACGCTATCCCGTCAGGCCAAGTCACCGGAAGTTCGAGCCGAGGTCGGCCAGAGCAGCAACACCCTCTGTAATAAGCTCAAAGATGTATATGTATGTGTGTGTGTGTGTATATATGCAGATGCACGCCATATAATGATGAGCATAGTCGTAAAATATCAATTGTGTTATTTTAGAAATTCCTCAATGACCATATATGAATACGAATGTCACTCAGGACAGGCTCTGAGCAAAAGTGGACAAAAAAATTGTATGTAAATAAATTGTAGATGATTATGAGCTGTGGTTGGGCAGTTCCAGTTGATGCCATCCTGACGCATTGTGACCTTGACAGATGGATCAGGTGGAGGTTTGATTCGCAGTCGAAGTACTTGAGTCCTTCAGCAAGACTTTGAGGCCTTATCGGTGTACAATGAGCTCACGCTACACTGAAAGCATTAGATAAGTGAAGTCCACACTGCAAATCTGCTGGCGTTAATTCAACACCTCAGGTGTTCATTTTAACACTGGTGAAGTATGATAAGCATCCACATTGACAAGTGTAACATCTACAAACATGTTCAATCTTCAACATCCAGTAGAGTGTAACAGCAAAATATAGTGTTGATATTGCAGTAATCATGATACTTCTGAATGTTTAGATGAACACTAATGAGTGTTCATGTCAACACTATGCAGTGTGGCTCAAAGTAACCCAGGCCTCACAACCTTAAAGGGACAGTGTGTAAAAATGTGTTGATTTTTCAATGTTCATTTCATTTCAAAAACCCACTATTCATTTCAAGAATATATACACATACAAACATTCCATTCTGGTATTCGGTTCCAAAGTATTTTTCACCCAGGATAGTGGCACCGCACTTTGATAATAAGGTGGTTCACCGAAAGTTTCATCATGTATTTACACTCTCTACCTAATGGCTGTTCGAATGTTGAGTGGTTTTGCATACTTTTTGGGCCACTTTGATCCGTGTATCTTTCGTTTATTTATTATTTTCACAACAAAATGGGAAAGAAAAAAAATGACCACTGACAAAAGCATTCATTCCCAAAAACAAACAAACAGAAAAAAAGGAAAACGACTCCTTTTTCAATTTCTGAGGTTGTGTGCAAATGGAAAAAACTGATAACTGGCGATTTGGATCTTTCATGTCAGATATCTGCCACAAGTTCTGTGACCCGGAAGTAAAGTTGAACTGGAAGAAAGCTTTCATTCACCGGACTCGCAAGAACTTCATTCATTTTTATTGAGACGTAGGCATGAGCACACTTTAAAACCTCGTAACTTGCTGAATATGTGAGTGATTTTTATAGGTTTTATTTTGTTGCAAATGTCAGACATGTCGCTACAATTCCCCTCCCTCCAAAAATCCATGTGCAATCAAAATATTTCTTCACTCAAATATTGCGCCTTATAAGGCAAAACAGTCTTCAGATCGATTAACGTCATTTGATGTCAGAAAACTGCACTCGATTCTCAATTTTCCCCTAAATGTATGGAGTCTTCTCTGCGTATTAACGAACGCACCCCATGATTGGCCAAGTGCCTCATGTGAACGATTGGCTCATTAATGTAATCTGTTGAAATATGAAACAGGAAAACTCAAGTGGAAACCAAATTATGAGGATTTTTTTTCCCATCAAATGCCACAATGTGAGAGTTTTTCCTTCCCTTGGGAAGTCTGATTCCGTCTTGAAAGCGCGGAGGATCATGATGCTGAAGAAAATTGTCTCGACTCTTACCAATGAACTTCAAAATATGCAGCAGGTGACACCCCATTTTAATAACATATCATGCAGTTTTATTGAACATCTCTGACGGCCGAGGCGACACTATTTGATTACTAAGTTGTGTTATTGGAACTTTTAACATTGGCCGATTTGCAGTGCATATCCATGTTTAATTCCTGTGTTGGTTACATTTGTTTGTTTTTTTTAATTTGTTTTTAATGCTCATGTATTTGTCCTACTCTCGCTGTCAGACACTGTCAAAATGATTGCTGTGAAAAAGACCTTTTAAGAAACGCTAGTGGTCGTTCAGAAACGTTGCATGCTACTGGTCTTGAGACACAATGGACATGATAACGGAATACTGCATTTTTTAAAAATTGTGAAATCATTGTTCCAATATGAAAATGTGCTTGAATATGGTGTGTGTTCATTTGCGCTGCGAAATGAGACTGAGGCCAATTATTTCAAAAGGTTTGTACATTTCATGTGAATGAACAGTCTTGTTCAGAGTTTTGCCATGCTTTTGTAAAAAAAAAAAAAAAAAAAAAAAAAAAACA